TCGATTTTTGCGTTTTTACCAGAATGGTAACCAGCAAGCAGACCATTTTGACCAGAAGTTACCGTAATTTTGCTAAAATTTTTGCACGAACTCAAAATTAGGTATCCAATTCAGGTTACACCAGATACGGGGAACTTTACACTAAGGACTATTGGTATTCGTTTTTGGACGAAAAGGTAAAGGTCTACAGCTCGCTCTCTATCCAAGCGAGAGTACCGTTTTGACACACCTGTATGTACAAAACTCGATGGAGAGATTTTTTACAGTTTACAGTGAACCAAAACCGCTAGTTACGAACTATGTCCATGAATACATATACCACATGAAACCTAAGGATTTCGAAATCAGATGGGAATGGTAGGTAGGTTCCCAATCAACACAGTGATAATCTCTTTTTTCTTAAAAACCAATGCCTGTAGTATGACATGCAAACAATGATAGAGTATAGACTTAAAAAGCTTTTTTATTTTTTTGTACAGATAAACCTAAGACCTGAGACACATGTAGGTTGAGTGTCGCAAATAGTAATGAAGACTCTTTTTTATAATAAATTAAATTCGAAATCTTCTTTATACCAGTAAACCACAAGACCCCCTTACAGTAAGCTGCGGACTCTGACTTTTTGTCCGAGTCCACGAAATTGTCCAACCTCCAACGATCAATTCAATAGCGAAAACTTTCGTCAGAACATGTTTTGAGGTCTGTTCTTGTTAATATCTTCGCAAGTTCTTATCATGGAGTGATGATGTATGTACCTATCGATTCTGTGTCATCTCACAATGCGAAATTTAACAATAAATTCTTTAAAGATCAGACAATGTGATTTTCTGGATTTTTTTTTTCTCATTTTGTCTCTCATAGTTGAGGTATACCTAGGATGAAAATTACAGGCCTCTCTCATCTTTTTAAGTGGGAGAACTTGCACAATTGGTGGCTGACTAAATACTTTTTTGCCCCACTGTAGATAGACAATAAGTGTGCAATTGCAGGTCTCCCTTGAAAAAGAGATACAGTATATGATCTCAATCGGATCAATCTGGTTGAATAAAGGTTTGAATAAACAAACATTTTGAAATTACATATTGCTATTTTTACCTGAAAAGGTAAGCTGTGTGCTTGTTCTGGAAGTGTCTTTCAACATTACATTTTGTGTGGTTTGCTTATTTCTCACAAAATATCAAGCATACAGGTGAGCCAGCATTGTTGGCAGTGTAAAAGCAAAGGAATCAGAATTAACTCTCCATTTCGTTAGAAAAAAAAATTAGAGGTTGAGAAAGCAGCATCGACTTTCTTCATTGATGTCTGTCTTTCATACCGGTTTACTGTCAGTTACAGTCAACAGAAACTGCAGGTGAAGGTGAACAGGAAAGGTATTGATGCATTTCTGTCATGTCAAACATATGTTGAAATCACAAGCTGCCAACTAAGAAAGTCTTACATCTGCCTTCTTTATGTCTTTGGGTTTCCTCTATTAGTACAGTGAATTGAACACGCATTAAAACAGGTGGCACATTGCAGGAAATCCTCCAACAATGGCAGTTAACAGAAATAAAAAATCTAATTCGGCAGATATACTCACAGCAATCCAATCAGCTCTCCAAATTAACACTTTGACTTTCTTACTAAAGAAAATGTGTTGCCTTCACTCTGATACCAAAATAAATGTGTTATTTATATAAATCTGTAAAGACAGGGGGTGATAAAAAGCTCAGTGGCAACTTCTCCTTGACATCAAAAGGACAGTTAATGAGCTGTGACATTACATTGCATTTAGCTGACGCTTTTATCCAAAGCGACTTACATTAAGTACATTCAACCAGGAAGATACAACCTTGAAGAAAAACAGAATCATATAAGTACATCAGGTTTCATAGAGCCAAACATTTCAAGTGCCACTCAACTGGCTATAGATAAGCCAGTCCTTTATTAGTATATAAGTGCTCTGTTAGCAGTTCTTTGTTAGTAATTCTATTGCTCGAAGTGGAGTCGAAATTAACACAACATTCAGTAGTGTGTGTATACATGTACACGGTTTCTCACAAAGGAAAGTGTTGTTATCTACGCTTTTATCCAACTAGGATCTCTCATCTGTTGACAGCAGCCTTGTCTCTGTTTACATTTAGCCTTTCTATAGCAACAAGAAGAGAGACTGCGAGTCCAACAGCAAATAAGCAATGAACCGAGTCTGACCTTCTGTCAACACATGAAATCAAATCTGTATCCCCTTACTGTCGCTGCCAGTGTTCGCTCTGTTCTTCAAGACGTCTAGCCGCTTTGTTATTCACATTGCGACGTGTTTTATATTACGTATGCCCTGTATTTAGTGGAACCACATGCCAGCCAGGGCAGAAATATAAGAATACTGTACAATAGAAGTATTCAACTGCAAGTGCATAGAGAAAAACAAGACTCAAATATGCACTGGTCCATTTTGGGGATCCTGGACTATTTTGCTTCAATAACAAGTATTTTTTCAGACTAGTAGAAATAAAACATTGTGTTTTTATGTCTGCTAAATTCACCACGAGTGAGTCATGCACAAATTAGCATTAGATAATGCACTATTGCCCTGCACGGTAGGGCTTTTATCATTATATTATTTTCCGTTTTATACTCTATGCAAGAAATCTCGCACTTACAAGCAATTACCCTTCTAATTGAATTTGTTTCTTTATAGTTTTACATAGGGGTTTATTCATATATCATTCATAGCGTGCTTTATGTTACACACGATTCCCCCAAAAATATGAAAAGCTTTTTTTCATTATTTTCGGAATTTATACAAAGGGATTCCTTTCAAACATCTACAATCTCTCCCCAAAAGCATTGACCTTAGTATGTTAACACAATGAAACAATAACTTTTGAACACGGTTTTGTCAATACCAGATTTATGTCCAAAAATGAACTCACTTCTAAACCTATTCAATCAGATAATGTGCCTTATTTTTATATATAAAAATCACATTTCATAAAGCTTGAAATCTCCCCCAAAAATGTCTTAATGTAAGTTATCAACTGAGGAAGTGCCATTATAATATCTATGAGTTAATTATACAACCCTTTCCCTTGTACCTATCTATTAAAAACACATCAAGCTTCCTTATTACCATGATAATGGGCATTAAAACGTTGCTGTACTTATCCCTACACACAGTCCACACCTTAAACTTATCTGCAATACAATCCTTTATGTTATTCAACTTCCTATAAGTCGTGACTAATTATGAACATAGTTTCCCCACGACAGAACATCTGCATGTTTGAAATGTTCTATTTAAGGTGACTGCACCCACGCAGATTGATCCAATCATCTGGAAGCACCTGTATGTTAGTTTCTGCTTTAAAGCCAGGCTTCTTCCATTTCCTGTCTCAATGATCCACAAACAGCTCCTTACTGAAAGCAAAACAAACTATACTTTCCTGATGTACTCTTTTTTTGGTTAAAGAGAAAAAAAATGTCTCTACAGTTACCTGGCAGCACTCCTCTCCAGTACAGCTGGGTTTTCCCTGTCCTGTAAGTGTAACCCAATCGATGTCTATCCATCTCAGAATGTCCTTTTAACTCTGCTTAATCAGAACATCGAAAAGGAAGCTACAGCCGTTTCTTTAAAAACACAAGTTACCCTGTCGCCCGGTTACTTCATGTCTGTATTTACCCATCAAACCCTTGGAGTACCTGCTCTGTCACTGTTCAAACCGGTTTCCAAGAAACCAGAGTCACCAGGTGTGGGAGAGACTCGTAGGAAGGGGAGGAGGAAGGAGGCGTCCTATAAGATGTCCCTTTAAACCATTTCCATAATAATGATTTGGTGGGTTGGCCAGCAGTCAAGGACAAAGTCACCCCCAGAGTGGGAGGATAAAGTGGGAGGGGGGGGACAAAAAAAAGGGGGGGAAACCCTTTTAATCAATGGTGAGGAAAGGTTGAGGAAGGAGGGGAGGATAGGGAAGTGAAAATGATGAGAGTTAACCAGCCGTCACAGTTAATATTTAACTATCTGCAGTCCTGCCTAACAGTCCAACGACGCATTATTAAACACATTTTCTCCCATGATGATCACATGATCTTTTTTTCTGCTCATGTGCCAGTGCATCCCTAACTGTATTGCTGAGATCTGGCTAGACAACCCCCACCTCCAAGCCCAATTTTAACCTAATCTCAGCCTTGATATACTGAAGCAGAAATGAATGAGATTCTGAAATGTTAAAACCTAAATCACAGAGGGGAGTCTGCAGCAGTTATCATCCTATAATGATATGATGAACCAGATCATATATTAAACATTAAAAAAAGACTTATTCTGTCCATAAGGATGCAAAGTAACCTCAGCTTCATTTGCATGGCTGCCCTAGATGGAGATAACCATTCAGATGTAACTCATAAATAATGGAAAGGACAGAATGTATTAATATGCCGAGTCACACCCCTTTAATCATACAGAGGTTCGTGTGTGTGTGTGTGTGTGTGTGTGTGTGTGTGTGATTGGCTATTGAATGAGAGCAGATGCGTCCCTCTTCCCTTTCCTCTGTCCCTCCGTAATGGACAATTACCAAAGAGCTATTGGTGTTCTGCCACAGGCATAATAGAGTGAAAATTAAAAGGCCTTGTAAAGCCTTTATGTGGTCAAGGCAACCAGATGTCTTCAGTTCACTGAGCGAACATGGACATGATGTAGTTTACTCTCCAAGTACCGTTTCAGTTCTTTGATGCACTCTTATATGGTTAAAAAAGATAATTTAGCAGTCTTTACATTACATGTATGGAAATACAAGTACAAGACTTACTCTCCTTTTAACTTTCTTTTGTCTCCATTAACTGTCTATCTGCTGTTTGGTGTTGAGCTGGTAGGGTCAGCGGGTTTTAGAGATTTTTAACTGAAGATAGCTGCAAGCTGTGCCAAAAACATTAAAGTTGGACCCAAAGGTGA